GCTCAACTTTATTTAAATTATTATAGATATTGAATCATGTACAAGAATATTGATTGCTATGCAAATGAGATTGAAATATTATTATTGTATGCTTGTATGTGCACAATTAACTATAATAAAGTCTTTTCTTTATGGTATTAGTGAAGGAACACTAGAATACCTATGCATGTATATGAAAAAATATATTGATATTGAAGTATCTTAAGTGGTACAAATTTTTAGACAATATTTTTATGACGGTTGTACAAATACATAATGATATTATTATTTTATTAATATAATAAGATTTATTGATAACATCTAAAATATTAATATTGATTTATTAAAATTTTAATTGACATGTATTTTGTTTTTTTTCTTGTATCGCAGTTTTTAGGAATATGAGCATTCTTTGACTTGTTTAACTCATTGTTATTTTAAATTAACTTTTCAGGTTAATTAAATGATTTAAAGATAAGCGATAGAAAAGATAATATTTATAGATAATGCGAACAAAGTAACGAGATAAATCTAATTTTACTGCTTTAATTTAATTGATTAGTGACTCTTTCTTCTGTTAAATAGTAAATGAATAGATAAAACTTAATTCCTACTGTCTAACCATCTGTTCTCGTCATGGTTAAATCTAAGTCCCGACTGGGTCGAGACATAGGAGATGATACCGGAAGAGAAAACTCAAACTATAAAAGAAACTTTTATTAATGGGAAAAGAGGATTAGAATACACATGAACTGGAAATTACATCATCAAAACACAAACAACATAAAGAGACATCTTGAGAGTGTATTCTGATGGCGGTGGAGGTTGGTGGGAGGGTGGGGTGGCAGCTAGGAGCAGTGGAATGACAGTTGAGACGACTGGCTGCTAGGAAGAGTGAATGAGAAAGAGCTGGACAACAAGTTGTTGCAGTAAAAACGTGGTCGGTAGCGCAGGGGAAGCGAGCGAGGATAGTCAGCGGCTAAGGGAAATGGCGGAGACGGAGTAGGGAAAATAAAAGAGGAGATACTATCACCACCTCTAAGTAGGATATAGTTGGACTACTACTGCCTCCTCGGATACAACCCTGGAACAAGAGAAGGATTCCACACAGGAAGAAATCAATTCACAGCAAAAACTCACTAGACTCTTCGTAAACCAACATACATATAGCCCTAGCTAGGTGAGAAACAAGAAAGGAAAGAAGAAGAGAAAAGAAAGAAGAAGAAAAGGAAACTCCTACAAAATGAAGGTGTGGAAATACTCAAAATAGCCATTAAAATGCTTCCATGTGAAGAAGCAACAGAATAAGAAGCGAAAGAGGAGTGCGGGAGGCCGCTTGCCTTGTCAGAAGCATCGCTTTGACCGCTCGACCCCGAGATCTCTCTGGACTATGCCCCAATTGGATCGGTTGGGCTGACCCACTGCTCCCACTCACCCGGGAGCTCTCCTGCTCTTGCTTCCCGTCTGTGCAGAATTGTTCTGCACCCGCGCCATGAGATCAACTCGCTTCATAGCTAAGTTTGTACATTTACTTGCTCTATAATGTCAACACTCCACATCACTGAGTTGACTAACATAGGTGTTACCAGAAGTTTAGGGAACATTTTATAGAGAACGATTACTAATGTCTTTCATTGCTAGGATAATATTAATTATAACTCCCATGCTCAGGAGAAGATAGAGATGAGAAATTAAAAAAAGCACTTTGAATTTATATATAATAATTACATATTTATAACATTAAGCCATTATGCAACACCCAAAATTGAAAAATCAGGCAAAGATTTTGACATATTTAAAATGTACTTCAAATTTTGAATATCCCGAAATTTAACTGAATCAATTTTATAAAATTCTACATATTAAAACGATCAATTTGATGTATAACACTTTATAAATTTTGAATATAAAGAGAGGTATAAAATCTTGTAGTTATCAATTTAATTAATTTGATTAATCATAATTATTCCTTTATCTCCCACACTCAGCTGTCCATGCAACCACTGGATCCAACTGAATAACTGAGATTAAAGGTATTACCTTAAGTGCGGCACCTCCATTCATTTCCTCCCGAGTCCTCTCCACTCATGAAGGAGCTTTAGTTGGCTCTTATAGCATAAACATGAAAGATACATTCGCGCGACCCGTTGAGTTCCGCGGACGACTTTTTCAGGGCTCTGAGGAGATTTTGGTGAGTGGGAAACCCTCTTTCATGTCATTTGATATATTACTTTTCTTCCTTGCATTTCCATTTTGATGTATGCCACAAACTAGTGCACTTTTTCGCTTCCAGTAGCTATAACAGAGACTAACTTGTGTCAGAAGCGATGGACTCGGTTTGTAGGTTTCCTTAAGGGCTTTTAGAATGAAATCAACAAGATAAATGGAGGATTAAAATAATAGGAAGAAAAAGGAAGAAAAATAGGCAGGATTGGAGAAGGACTATTTATGTCGAGAGCCTTTTTGAGTTAAGAAATTATAAGAGTTATGTTTGGGGTCACATCACAAAATGAGCCAAAATTTCATGAAATCCTAAAATATTTACGAATATCGGGTTGCTACACAAGGTGAGGAGCTCGAGAGAAGTTTGAGAAAACTCGTCGTAGGGCTGCTCCGTCAATTTAAATGAAATAATTTTGTGCTAATTTAAGAAAAATAATTTTCTGTAGGTTTTTATATGATTTCATATTTTACACTATTGCATTTAAAATTTCCTGCATATTGTGGATGAATACCCATACCGAAAGTTTGAATGCAAATTGATTACACTATACGACACATGATTTTACAATGCTATCAATTTGATGAATATATTTATGAAATCATTGCCTGTATGTATTTCTTTACTATGAGTCATGCATATGATATATGAAATGCCTATGATAAATTTTTGTTAAAGAAATGTTTTAAAAAATATCACAAATGATGTTATAAGTAAACTATTACATGAATACTTGCAAGCTAAGATGATACGAATCAACAGGATTTTTGACTCATGATATTCAAACGGTGACAGAACCTTGGGAATCGTTAGGATCATACGATGCCAGAAAGTGGGGAACAATTGATACCAGATGGGCTATTGATAACTGCTATATTGAAAGGGCAACTTTTGTTAATAGCTAATGCAGCCTTTGGGCTGAGTGACGACCTACTAACATGATATGATATAAAAATAGTTGATGCCTATATAATAATAAGTGACATTCTTATGTTTAAATTTGTGATTCTTATGAACATGGTTATGATCACTCATAAATGAATATTCTATATAACAGTCATGATTTCTTGCATTGCATGTCTTTTCTTTTTTATGTTTTATACGTTTATAGCACGTTATGTGATTTGTTGTGGATATGTACTGGATTATATGCGAGCATCTACATTGTTTCTTTTCTACATATAAAATCTTGTTTTAATTTTGATTATTTTGTTGAGCTCACTTTTGTTTATACTACATTGTTGACTTTCAGGAAGGGGTAAAGAGTACTGGAGCGAGTAGTTCGATATGATCTGTATAGATTTTGCATTTTATAGTTTTGAAAGCTTTTACAGTTTCTTGGGTACGTATTTTATTTATGTTGGATTTAACAACTTTGTATAGACATACACATTTTGATGATATAATTTTCACGCTTCCAAGTATATATATGTGAATGAATTATGCAATGAAATGTATCAAGTATGTTTGCGGCGATTTAATTAAAATAGTTTATAACCCACTGGGTTGTGATTCTGCAATACAGGGCGAGTGCTACTGAGAATTTACTCTGACTAAATCATCCGCTGTTGTCGCATCTCAACCGACCCTTAACAGGTTGTCGGGGGGCGGAGTTGGGCTGTGACACAATCCCTCTATAAATAGGGGATCATTGTAAAACAATAGTGCAGCCCCCCAAATCTTGAAATGCCTAATTCTTTTTCATTCTTACATATTCTCTTAGTTCAAAACTCTCCTTATTCGGTTCTTTCCTTGGTGGTTTGAATTCACAAATAAATTAGGATCCAATTATAATTTAGTTTTTTTTTTTAAATTTTCTTAAACTTTAGTTGCAACTTTTTTTAGAAATTGTTGGCATTTTAGCATTGTGTTTGTGTGAACTTTTAATTTGTTTTTGCTCATTTTATATTATGGATTCCTCAATTTGACTTTCAATTCATCATTTTCTCATTTGGATCTTCACATCTTCTTTAATTGCCTATTCAAGCTTCTTATTTTCTCAGATTTCTTAGCTGTATTTTGAGGTCAATTTATTCCTATATTTTTATTTAATTTTCACATTTTATTTTATGATGACTTGCTTTACGGTCCTATTGTTTAACTAAAATTATTTATTATTTATGTAATTTTCAAAAATTACCTTTTTTGTTATTATCATAAAAGATATTTATTTTTATGTCTTATCTTTTTTTCTTTTTTTCTTTAATCTAGTTTTTTTTATTAGTATATAGCTACTGAAATTATATCTGGTTATTACTGGACATCTGCCTGCTGAATTTTCCCAATCTGCTTATTTTCTAATTTCATATATTTATTAAAAAGTTTTTTCTTATTGCTATCATTGTCAGATAAATAATAATAATCATATGTAAGAAAGCAATAGATATTGGTTGATAATAGTTGGATTCACATAAATGATAATTTGAAAAAACCTAATAGGACTAAAATGAATAATATAAAAACTTAAAGAACAAAAAAATAAACAGTGGTCAACAAGAGGAAATTATGTTAATTTTCCCGTCTTGTTATTCGACAATCGGATTTTGAAAATTGTGGTGAGAGTGACGTTTTGTGCTTAGCATAATGATTTTTTTTCTTGGCTCCTTAACATTGTTGAAACTTGTATTGCCTTTTTTTGACAATTCAAGAGATTGCCATCTTTTGTTGATAAATTAATTTTGTAATTTCATGAACGGATGGAATGGTATGCTTGGATAAGATTTTTTTGGTACTTTTCCCAAACAATTTTTTGTTTACTTTCTCATTCATTTCTTAAAAAAAAAGTAATCTGTTATGGCAGAATTGATGGTGCAGCCTTAAGATCTTACACCTCCCACTGGCCACCTGAGCGCTGGCAGGAATATGCGCCTCTTTTAAATTATTGTCTCGATAATGGAGTCAAACTTGTTGCTTGTGGTACTCCACTTGAGGTAATTGATAAGCTTGTTGTTTTTCCTTGTTAACACATTGAGGAAATAAATATTCGTGAAACTTACAGTACTCATTCCTATTTTTTCTTAAATGGATGGACTGTTACTGTTGAGCACAACAATCTAGTGCGCTAGACAACGGAAAAGTTTGCATTGCATTTTTTATTTATATTTTTATGTGCAAGAAAAGATTTCAGATTTATCAAAAAAACCCAGTCTTCTTGGTGTATTAGCTGTCGGATGGGAAAACTATGGTGGCTTTTTCCATTTGTTTTTGTCAGCTTAAGGCAAAAAAAAAAAATTTAAAAAGGCATTTACACACACACCACACAATTCCTATGTATTTACATATCTAACACCTAAACTTGACTTTTTACAACAATACCACCCAATTTTTTCAAATTACAAAAAAGAAAGAGATTCATTTTAATGTTAAAATGTGAAATACACTTTTCATGCATAGGTATGGTGGCATGTATGTAAAAATTTAAGTTTAGGTGTTAGATATGTAAATGCATAAGAATCAAGTGTTTTGTATGTAAATTTTCAAAAAAAAAAAAAAAAAGGAAAAAAAAAGACAAAAGAACTCAAGTATTAGACACTCCTCTTGGTTTGACGTGAATATGTGATAGTGCCTGGGTTTGCCGGCAAGGGTTGTAAAAGCTAACTTTGCCTTTATAAACCTCTTTTTGTGCTTGACTTTATAGTTCTGCGAAACTGCCTAATAAATTTCAATTGAGGAGCTAAAGTGGCTTTATGGGTTATCATGCTTCTAATTTTGATGAGACTACGATTGAATGGATTGTAAACTTTGCTCTTCTTTGTTCTTTAATTATCCCTAAATTTCCATGCTATGTATTTTAATGGCTACTGTTTTCTCAGTTTATATACATGTTAAGCTGAAAGTTGAAGTTTATGATCTGTTGTGCAAATTTAACATTTTTATCATCCTTCCAAATCTATTTGATAGGCAACCTTGTGCTATTAGTTTAGCAGGTTGATTTTAATTTTAATAATTTCTATTCGGAATTCTTTATGATTTACCTAATAAAAACTTGGTGCATATTGATTCATTTCCCTACTATATTTTACGGTTTATTTTTTGTGTTTATTAGTCAGCATAAGCATGAATCCAAATTGTTTATCTAAAACAAACCTGCATGTGTTTAGGTATTAAGAACTGTTCAAGCTGAAGGGATTCGGGGCTTGACTGGAGCACAGCGTAAACTATATGCTCCACCTGCTGGTTCAGGATTTATTTCTGGTTTCACATCTATTTCTGGCAGGTCTTTGTTAGACCAGCTTTCTTCAAAACAATCTGTCCCATTTGGTCCTTATTCTTACCTATCCGCCCAAGCAAAAGTCGTCGATGATTATTCAGTGTCCCAGATTATAATGCAAGCAGTGATAGATGGAGGTTCTACTGGTTTGCTTGTCGTTGTGACAGGCGTAAGTCATGTCATTTATGGATCTAGAGGTATGGGCGTCCCTGCAAGGATTTCAAGAAAACTGCAAAAGAAGAATCAAGTGGTTATATTGCTTGATCCTGAAAGGCAACAGATTCGCAGGGAAGGAGAGGTTCCTGTAGCTGATTTCCTGTGGTACTCTGCTGCTAAGTCTTGTAGCAGGAATTGCTTCGATCGAGCTGAAATAGCTCGAGTGATGAATGCAGCCGGTCGTAGACGAGAGGCTCTCCCTCAGGTATTCATTTATTTTTGCTTCATTAATTAAATGGTTGGACATGTGAAAGAAGCAGAGATTGTAACCAGTAGATGAGTAGATGAATCAATGCAGACGGCATAGAAAGGAGAAGTGTAGGCAAAATAGTTTAGAAATTGTTAAAAAATGGCTTGAGTTTTACTAGAGTTAATACTGTGAGAAATATCAGAAAAAAATTTCTTTGCTGCTGTTATACGCTGCCTTCATATTTGTTGTTACACTCAGCTACCTATACATGTAGCTGCTCGTTCATGTTTGTGACTCCCTCTTGCCATCATATCTGCCTCAAGCTGGCAGCTACGTACCACCTCGTTGATCCATGTGATCATTGCTGTCACTTAACCAATTCATTGGCTGTCTGTAATCAATTGTGCATTGTTTTTTCCATTACCATGTATATTTTCTACTAGAAGCTCTTTTGGATTTTTATATATTTAGTACAAATGCTGGAATGAAACTTAACTAATTCTCTTCAATTCTTTTTATGGTATGAGAACCTTTGTCTTTTTTGTTGCTTTTATATATGCCACAATTTTTATCATTGCCTTGCTAGAACTTGTCAGCCTTCCACCTAATCTTCTCATTTGCTGCTTTCATCCTAGCAACCTTATCTCTATATTTATTTCTTTCGGCCATCAATTACAACCCTTGTTACCTTTATGTTCCCTTGGTCTTAGGTTCATTTCAAAAAACATCCACTTAACATATATCGTTAGAATGAAATGAATTATCTTAAGTGGTCATAACTGATTCGCACTTCCCCTTTGATTCACACTATAAAGGGGAGATGAAAATTTGGGCCATTTACTTTGCATCAAACCCAAGGATGACTTTCCCACATTCAATACTCAGGATGAATAGGACTAAATAGTGATATCATGTTCTAGAATTCTAAGGCTTTTGAAATAAGTGACTCCTTTATATTTGTTCATTAACAAAAAGAATACGGGATATAATAAATTGGACATATTGTAATATCTATGATGAAGCCCACAGCCATAAGATCAAAATGGAGATATTGACCACAAAGAAATGAGGCGATTCATCACAAAGACTGTAGTTTATTACGAAGGCATTTACAAAAAGATGGAACATCATAAATGAATCTAGATGAAGTATATCAAAGATGCAGTCCACATAAGGGGGCCTGTTTGGTTTGGTGATAAAGTGGTGCAAAGTGAAAGGAATATATGCATTTAAAATGTTGGGTGTTTGGCTTGAGTAAAATGGAATGCATGGTAAAATTTTGAAGTATTTGGAATTCACCATTTAATACATTTCCAATGTATTTGGAGCTCACTCGATTTTTGGTTGCGATTTATCAACAAGCATTAACCTTATGTTGCTATCTATCTTCAGAAAGTTAGGTTTATGAGAGATTTCTTCAACTACTGTAACCTTTCTGTTAGCTGATTGATCAATCACTTATCCAAAAGGGGTTATAGAATATGTATTAGTTAACGTGGATAAATTTATCTTCATTATCGATTTTATTGTATTAGTTATTGAGGAAGATAAAGAAATTTTAATTAATTTGGGGAAACCTTTCTTTGCTATTGGATGAGTTATGATAGATGTGCAAAAAATGTGAGTTAAACTTGAGATTTATTGATCACAAAGTTACCTTTAATATATCAAAGTCTTTGAAATATCCAGCTAAAGGAAAAGAAGATGAATGTTTTCGGATGGAGATAATTGATTATTTAAGTAGTAACCACTTCCAAGAAAGTTGTGAGGTAAACTCAGAAAAATTGGAGTTAGAAAATGAGAATGATACGAATTCCCAAGATGAGTCCATTATAATGATCACTGATGATTCAAAATTTGTTCAGGAAAGGTTTGAGAATTTGAATGCAACCAAAAATAGTAAACTTTTTATGCCTTCTATTGAAGAACCTCCTAAATTAGAGATGAAGGTACTCCTTACACATTTAAAGTATGCTTATTTAAGAAACTCATCTACATTACATGTCATAATATCCTCAGATTTGACTCAATCAAAAATATAAAAATTATTAAAAATTTTAAGAAATTATAAGAAAGCTTTCGGATGGACCATAATTGATATTAAATGAATCAACCCTTCAATCTGTATGCATATGATCTTGATGGAAGATAGTCATAAACCAAGGACAGGTTCTCAAAAGAGATTGAAACCAATTTTGAAAGAAATTTTTAAGAAAGAGATATTAAAGTGGTTATACGTAGGTATTATCTATCCTATTTCTGATAGTGCTCGAGTTAGGCCCCGTTTGGGCCAGCTTAAAATTACGGCGGTGTTTTTGAAAACACCGCCTAACCGTTTGGTTCCTGATTTTGATGGGCGTTTTGCAAAACGACGTTTCACTGTTTAGCCTAAATAGTGAATGCGGGGCATAAGGTGCGTATCGCGTTCGCTGAGGCCTTTTTTTCCTCACTACCCTCTCTCGTTGCTACCCCTGGATCGTCGCCCTAGCGATCGTCGCCCTAGCGATCGTTGCCCTAGCTACCGAGAAGATCTTGTGTGGTAAAAATAATTTTGTGCTCCCTCCTCTCCTCCCTCCTATTCTTCCTCTCTCGTCTCATCTTCTCTTTTCCCTCTCCTCCTCCATTGATCTGCGACAATGTTGTTTTTGTATGGTCGGTGTTCTTTTCTATATGGTTGGTGTTCTGCATCTATGCAGTTTATGTTGGGTATTTTGTAAGTTCTGTTCTGCATCTATGTGTATTTTGCGTCTTTAGGTATGATTGGTGTTCTGCATCTATCTTTTTCTGTTTGTATACATCAGGGATCAGCTTTAAGCGCATATCTTTTTGAGTTTATGTTGGGTTAGATCCACAAATCGAAATATTGTTTCTGTATTTTTTTAAGCCAAAAGCACTTGGTTTTCATCTTTATGGCTTCCCCTAAACTATGCTTCTACTCGGTTTGATGGTAACGGTTAGAAACACTTCTTTGAGGAGAACTAAGGCCCCGTTTGGGGCAGCTTAAAAGTGTGGCAGCGTTTTTTAAAACGCCGCCTAACCGTTTGGTTTCTGAGTTTGATGGGCGTTTTGCAAAACAACGTTTCACTGTTTAGCCTAAACAGTGAGCGCGGGGCATAAGGCGCGTATCGCGTTCACTGAGGCTTTTTTCCCTAGCTGCCCTCTCTCGTCGCTACCCCTAGATCGTTGCCCTAGCTATCGAGAAGAAGATCTTGTGTGGTAAAAATAATTTCATGCTCCCTCCTCTCCTCCCTCCTGTTCTTCCTCCCTCGTCTCATCTTCTCTTTTCCCTCTCCTCCTCCATTGATCTGTGACAATATTGTTCTGTATGGTTGGTGTTCTGCATCTATATGGTTTATGTTGGGTATTTTATAAGTTATGTTCTGCATCTATGCGTATTTTGCGTTTTCAGGTATGATTGGTGTGCTGCATCTATGCGGTTTATGTTGGGCTAGATCCACAAATTGAAATATTGTTTATGTATTTTTTTAAGCCAAAAGTACTTGGTTTTCATCTTTGTGGCTTCCCCTAAACTCTGTTTCTACTCGGTTTGATGGTAACGGTTAGAAACACTTGGTTTTCATAATCTCTTTGTTTTAAATACCAGAGAAAGTTGGATATTTGCGGTTTTTGTTTGAAGATGGAAAGATATGCTTGTTGTATGATGTTCTTAATGTACTCGGTTTGATGTGCTTGTTGTATGATGTTCTTGATGCGTTTGAGTTTGAGAAGTTTTAAGTTTTTTGTTGAAGATGGTAAAATGTGCTTGTATGATCTTTGTGGCTTCCCCTAAACTCTGCATCTACTTGGTTTGATGGTACTTGATGGTTTTAAGCCTGTTAAAGCTTGGTACTTGTAAAAATATATAAAAAATACTTTGTTTGATGGTGCTGAATATTTATCAAAAGAGCTGGAAAGATATGGTTGGTGTTCTTTTTTCTTCATGTTTAGACTCATCAGATGTCTTATGTATAAATACTTGTATAAATACCAGAGAAAGTTGCATCTACTCGGTTTGATAGTATTTGAAGATGAAAATATATGGTTGGTGCTCTTTTTTCTTCGTGTTTTGACTTGTCGGATGTCTTCTGTTGTTGATGATTTCAGTTAAATTTATAGGAAGAGCATCAATCCAAACATAAACTTATAGATTTGGCCATTGTTGGTTTAGTACTCTTACAAGTTTTTCATTGAAGAAACCTTCATCCTGAAGGTGCTGAATATTTATAGTGTTGGAAACTCCATTGAAGAAGCCTTCATTTCATTAATCCATAAACATCCATATTTGTCATTTTTTATTTTTATAGATTTTATTTGACGCTGCAGCTAACAATGCATCATTTTTCAGTTTTAACCTACATGCCATCTTTCCTATGCAAAAAGGTATATTTCCTTAATTACATAGATGTTGTCTTGCCATCAATCTGTCTCACAGTAAAAAATGAGTAAAACTAAAGAGTCAGGATCATCCGCCATGTGAGATAAAGAGGCCACAAATATATTTTGTGATCTTTGTCTGATAGAGGTCGAGTTTGGAAATAAACCTACTACCTATCTTAGTAAGAAAGGTTGGCAAAATCTCACGAGTAAATTCAAGGAATTAACCGAAAGGGATTACGATCGGATAAAACTCAAAAACAAGTGAGATCAATTGAAAAAGTCTGGAAACTTTAGAAAAATCTCAAAAGAGGATCAACTAGATTGGGATGAGATCCACTAAAGCGGAAAATTGATGCACCTGAAGAATGATTGACAGAAAAATTAGAGGTAAGTACATGAGTATTTCCGCATATATTCACCTTGAAATTATTTAACTAATGAATTCATTTTTTTTGTTACTACAGGCAGTGCCGACAACAAATAAATTCAAAATGACTAGCATTGAACCAGTTTTGGAGGAGAAGTTGGATGTTATGTTCATTGGCGTTGTAGCAACAGGAGCTCATGCTTTCACCCCAAATGAGCAGGGTTTCGCCAGCTTAGCACAGGATATGTAGACCGAGCATATAGCTGACTCA